TTACACGAAATAGGGTGAATACATCTCATTACACTGATTTACTGGTAGTCTCGAAACCCTACTCCAATATAAATAGTTATGCCCCAAGCCATTTAAATGTGTAATTATTCTACAGGCCAGCATCGTTAGTTAGTCTCATCTGCCATGAATAATTTATTTTCTCATGCCGTTCGTGATTTCGCATGCCCAGATATACGGGGATAAATAAAATGTAATACTTATCGCAAGCTCAAACAAACTCTATAAATTGTAATAACGTTTTAATGTTCTATATCTTAGAATTCGATTAAGATTTTCGTGACGTGGACTAGAGTTCATAAAATTCCAGTAAGTCAATATGGATCGCTATATGACGTATTCTCTATTTCGCTTAAGGTGATGAACTTACGAAAGTAGAACTTTCCCACAGTCACAGGTAGTGCTGACGTTTTCATCGAATTTCACATGGTCTTGCTTCATCGACAACACTAGAAAATATTATAATACGGTGTAAGGCCTGGCATTCCTTGAAATTCACATCTGTCCAGTGATATGATGACACTCGTGACAACGCGGCAGAATGGTTAGTGTCAGGCGCACATTCTGGACTGTGAAGGTTCGACTGCCGATAAGACCTAGGCGAAGTCGAAACGGCAGTCAACCTGGATTAAAACAAATTATGTGAAAGAAAGGCCATCTGAAACTCAACACAACGCAATTTCCAATCATACATCATATGGAAAAATTATACTACCGGCCCTTCATCATCCTAAGAGAAGTGGTGAATATACCTAATAATTGATTCAATGGTCGTCTTAAAGCAATGCTAATATACTGAAAAGGAGTCATTTCTTCGCAAAAATATTATGGTCATCCTTAAAACTCACACCTGCCCAAAGGCGTCGGTGATAATGTGGAATAGTTCCGAGTCTATCCTGGATTGAAGCGCCCTTCCGGAATGGAAGGCTACATGAAATCCGTGCTGTCATATCTACCATATCATCGTGCGAATCTACTAATACTTCATCACCATAAATTAATTTGGCGAATAGACCTTACATTATCTTTGATTCTCTGCAGACAGATCAAATACTAGTTCCTAAGTCAAATATTAGATCAGAACTAGGCCAGTATATGCGAAGAAACGTTGGGTTTCTAAGAATCTCTTGTTTCATAATTGTTGAGCTTACTTCCATTTGGAGTGGAAGCGTTGGATGAAGAGATTCGAAGGTTGGTTCCATCAGAAGACTAAGGCGGATTCCTTTTAACCAGCTGTCGATTGGCTTTAAGTGAAGATTCATGATGACGCTCTTCCCAAAGTGATCTCGCTTGATTCTGATGAGATGCTAAGCTTTCGTCCGTCATGACGAATATCATCACAGCAAGGTATCATCGTCACAACCAAATTCAGACTAGGTCAAGGAAACTCATCAACAAATCCCGAAAAAGCAGTATATATACTCCGCATCTGGCCTCTTTTATCAGGTATAAAGTAATTTGGTTAGTTACGGCCATATGTCAACTTATATGCCTGTGAGTGTCTGTCTGTATGTGTTTGCTTATGCACGAAATACGCGGTGATGGGTTAAAAGTAATCTAGACAGCGAAAAGTAACGTCTGCATTTGCCCACCAAGGTTTGATGACCCCTATCTCTCCCTTTCTACATATGTCATGACACCACTCAGATTGTGGACACTCGTCTAATTTCGTTGATGAGCCTTTTTTGTGTTTGGTCTCAATGCAAGAGAAAGAGTAAACATAAAATACAGAGAAGTGACTATTATTAGAAACAAGACAAGAAAAGACCAGTTGTGTTGCCTCCTTTTTGCAGGCGGCTCGGTTCCCTCTATCGTTCAGTCAATTAATTAAGCACAAGTAATTATTACTTATCTCCTTACCATTATTACTTACATTCAATGTTTTTCGTATTCGGTTTATTTCGATGGCTTCTCCAATTTTACTTTTGGATGCAAACATACCATTGTCAGCTGTTTATATACACAGAGTGACTTCAGGACTCACGGTTATATAGGTCACACGAGATGAGCCAGCCTCCCTGCGCCTTTGAATTTTACTTAGCCCGTGTA